AGGCTGCAGGGGCTGCAGGCTGGCTCTTCTCATGCTGCCCTGTCCTGGCAGAGCCCTCGAGGAGTCAGAGAACTGTATATTAAAACCTGGCTTTCCATGTTGTTACGAAGTAATGTTTGTTAAGTTAGGAGACTAGAACATATTTCACTTAAATGGTTTTTAGCTTGATTTATATATAACTTTTTATTTTTATATTTTATAAAAATATGTTTTTTATTTATATATAACTTAAAAGTTATATATAACTTTTAAATCTTTATACACCTGGTAGATGGGTCTCCAATTATACTCTTACCCCAGAGCCTGTAAATGTGAGGGACAGGCCTGGAGAAGAAGGAATGGAATGAGGATTAGGAGGTGGACTGGATAGTACCTGGAGGCCAGCTGGATGCCAAAGAGGTCTCCCAGGTTTCTGACTCAAGGAGCCCTTTCTTTTCAGAGAAGCAGGTTTTGTACACTGAAGAAAGACGAGCGGGCCCACGATCGAATCATAGGACTAGCAGGAGAGGACAGTGTCAGGCAGGGCAGGAACATCAGAGGGTGCCTCCAAGACCGAGATGGAGCCTGAGTAACCGGCAAGCGGGTGGTTGGGGTGAGGGTGACAGGAGTGACAGAGAGGCAGATTCATGGTCGAGTTGCCTAGTGTGATACATGCTATTGTGGATTCCAGATAGAAGACATGGAAATCAGCCTGCCAAACATTCACTACTTTAACATAGACATGTCCAAAATGGGATTGATCAACAAGGAAGAGGTAAGAAAACTTTCAAAATATTTAAAGCACATCTCTGCCCCACCCGCTTAAGCCTCTTTATAAACTTGCCATGATAATATCCCTCACAAAAACTCTTAACAGCTGTTGCTTTGGGGAATATTTATAGTTGCCACTGATTAGAGCCCTCCTAGACTCTGGGCCTTTCAGTGCCTGGGGCTGGAGAGCACTAGACATGGATGAATGATTACAGAGGGCTTCGAGTTGCAGAGGAAAAGACAAAGAAGGAACAGAGTGTGCCCAAGGAAACAGCTCTGAGATCTACTTCTCGGAAAAGTGCCACACAAGGTCACAGCTTCATTATTCTTCCATCATGAGGCAATGAGCAGAAAAAAAAAAAGATTCTATTTTCATTTTCTTCCATCATCTCTACCTTTTGATTAAATAGTCAATTCAGTAGCATATAATACACACAAGAAAAGATGAAAGAGTATTTGTGTTTGTAATTGCAATTACAGAAGGCAAGATGAGGAAATTCATTTTTTGAAAGGAAACCTTTGTCTTGGAAAAAGAGCACTTACCCTGACTTGTTTTTAGCCAGGGCAGAAGGTTAAACCACTCACTGTGTCTGACTAAACAGCTCAGAGTTCTGACTGGTAGCCTGTTGTGATCAGTTCTTGGGAGATCAGAACTGTCCCTCCCTCTTGCACCACTTTCCAAATAATAGTATTTCTCAATTTGACCCATCCTCCCACAGGTTTCTAGAGTTTGACAAACACCATTTTGGGTAACTTCTGTTGGCATGTGTAGGAGAGAGACATAGGGAAGGGGCCATGGATTAGCATTGGTCAGCTCTGGTAGAATCATGTCCTTTGGTGGATAAAGGCTAATGAAGGGGTCTCCACAAGGTCCCAGATTCTGGGCCTGCTGACCCAGGAGCCTCATGACCCCTCTGCCCAGGAACCTTGTTTCTGTTCTGAAAATAATGTTGGTGGGCTCCACCAGGCTTCTCACCACCATGGGCTGCAGGTGGAGGCTGGTCGGGGGGTGGTGTTGGGAACCAAAGGTTGTGCTTAGGTGCCCAATATAGGTGATCTAGGGTCCTGAGCTGCTGAGGAGAACAACCTGGGTCCCATGTGCTGAAAGGAGGGGCAGCATTATTTACTTCAGAGCTACCAGAGTGCCATTAATTAGAATTAATCAATTAGCATATAAAGGATTTTTAAAGCCTTTTAAATGGCAGGAGAGGGACCTAAAAGTAGTCCTGGCCATGTCTACCAGATACAAAACAAATGGGCCTTAAACAGAAACAGGGTCAGGTGTCGTGACTACGGCAGTGCTTAGCTCAGAGTGCCAGGCAGGACGAGGAGGGTCTCCTTAGGACCCCTGATGCTTCAGGCCTGCACTCATCCCAGCTCGAGCTGGTGGGCTGAGGCGGCAGTGTCCCTCCCTCTAAGAAGTCAGACTCACAGCTCCCTCCTGGAGCCCAGCTGGGGACCTGTAAGCAGGAAGCCTTGAATTCCTCAGGTCAGGGCTCTGCATGGAGGCCGCTGAGCGGCTGAACAAGCTGTTCCTGTGTCTGCGCCTGCACTTTGGGGGTGGCTGAGCTGCTCTTGGACTCTCACCCGGCAGATGTGCACAAAGTGAATGTAACACAGGAGAAGCAGGAAGTTGGACACATTGACAATAGCAGAGAGGTGACGAATGACAGAGTGGGAAGATGGAAGAACTCTAACAGCACAGCTGTCTGGAGCCATTTAACATTGAGCTAACAGCCCTGCAGGCCTCAGATGCTCCTGAGGGCATGGCAGTATTATAGCATGGGACGATGATTGATGTCCAAAGTGAGTCACCAAGGAAAGGTCAAATTGTGTTCACTACACTCTACTTAAAAAGCAGGGATATGTAATGCATTTTAGAAACATTTATATCTTAATGATTAAAATTTTTCAAAAACTCAAATTTTCTGGGAAATCAACTCCTTTCTCAACTATCGCCGGAAAAATAAGGCATTACCATGCTTGCAGTGACTTTAAGGCACGTGTGTTTTCCTGTTTAACAAGTTGTTGTTTATTCAATATTGATTCATAAAAGAAGAGAGCTATTTTAATGTTTCTGAAGTTACCATGTGGGTTTTTCTATAGGTCTTGCTTCCATTAGATAATCCGTATGGCAGAATTACTGGCACAGTCAAGAGGAAGCTGTCTTCAAGGCTGTGACGTTGTGGCCACCAGTAGGAGTCTACTCTCATCTGAGGAATTCCTTAAAGTCGTTTGTGATGCTGGAGATTATAGCGTGGAGCCATGTGCCTTTTCAACCTAGTACATTCATTTATAGTGTCCGTTTTCCTCTTGTATGAAATAATCTATTTCATCTACACCTAGTTCAGCAAGGCATTTTGTGGATTACCTTACTAATAATTATAACATGCTTTGTGGCTATAGTTTATTTTTTAAAGGCTGAGCAGTATTAGAACAGTCATAAATCAGTATTTCTTTGTGATTGTCTTTCTTGTGCCTTCCTGTCTTAAAGAAGCTTTAGAATCAATTCATTAATAAAATAATCTTGAATTAATGGGGATGTCACATCAATTAATTTGTCACAAGTTTAAAAGCAAAATATTGTTTTCATCCTACTGATATTTCTGGGTAATGCAGAAAATGTAATAAAATCATATTGAAAAATATCATCATTGTGACTTCAGTTAACTGAATATTTGAATTTTTAAGAATGCTCTAGCATATGTATCATTGATAGTTTATTTCAACTCTGATAGCACCTTTGTGATCTTAATATGTTGATTTTATGACTTTTATTACCCTTAGAGAATATTTAGTACATATTAGGGCACTGAAAAAGAGTATACATTGCTTTTCTTTGCATAATGTATCCCTTATGTGCACAAAGAGCCACATTTAATAAATGTTGAGTCAATATATGGATGGATGAATATACATATAGAAAGAAGACTAGAGCAAAGATGATTTCTGGATGATGGGGTTATGAGTGATTTTTATTTTCTACCATGTATTTTCATGAATCTTCTAAATATGAACATTCATTACTTTTATAATCAGAGAAATAAATATAACTGATGATTTAAGGATATATACAGGCTGATTATATAAACTGATCAACTGACTAATATTGCCATTGTATACATACCATAAAGCTTCATAAACTTTAGAAACCTGTGATGAAAACCTGTCCACATGAACATTCTAGACAACCTTCTTCCATTTTTAAATGTTCATTTATTTTTTTAAATCTCCAATTTTTTTTAGAAATGCTTACATATAAACCCTTAGTATGATTTGATAATGCTGCTTCATTCACCATTAATACTGCTACGTAAGGTAGCATGGAGTAGTAGTTAATTGCACAAACTCATTGAAATCCTGGCTCCACTTCTCTTTAGTAATATAAGTTTCTTCATCTGTAAAATGGAGGTAGAAATCTACCTCATAGGTCTTTTGAGGATTAAATGAGTTAGTGTTTCTAAAGTGCTATGGTAGTTATGTGTGCCTGACACCTAGAAATTTCTATGTGTTAGTTGACTGTAATAAATATCCTGCCTTTTTTTCATTTGTTATTAGACTCATGGACAAAGTCATCATTGGCTTCTCTGGGACAGGTAGGATGGGAGGTCTTGAGAGCAGTGGGCCTTGCTGTGTGCTGGAGGTCACTCACAAGCTAGAGCCTGCTTGGAAAGAACAGGGGAAATAACAGTAAAATGTTTTGATAAGGAAAGTTTTGTGCTACATCGAATACTCACGTTACAAAATGTGCTTCCACGCCATGTAACTTGCATGGCCTAATGGCTGGTACATTTTATTCCTCTGCTAATTTGATAATTCTGTTCCAAAAAGGAAAGAGTCTAACATGACTTTTCCTAAAAACAACAACAAAAAACGTAATTAGGCCTTTCTTACTTGTCAGGGGAACGTGATAACCACTACACTGTGGAAACACAACGGCCTTTCTTACTTGATTTTTCTCTGTTCATGTAAGTTTTAAAAACACTGTATTTGCTTCAGAGAAGAAACCCATGTTATAGCAGAAACCTTAGACAGAAATGCATTTTGCTTCTCCTGAAGTCTTAACACATTTACGGTAATGGATTGCAAATGAGTTGTTGGATGTCATATCCCAGGTGTGTGGCAGGAAAGCCTATATGAAGTCTGTGAAATTTTCAAGGTGCAGTTCATGAAGGATGTTTCATGAAGTATGTTTTCTTATGCTTAAGAAAGGATGTTCAGAACTATGTGCTGAAAATCAGCTTTGGGCCTTTCGGCAGGAGCCGCCATCTTCCAGTAATTCGCCAAAATGACGAACACAAAGGGAAAGAGGAGAGGCACCCAATACATGTTCTCTAGGCCTTTTAGAAAACATGGAGTTGTTCCTTTGGCCACATACATGCGAATCTACAAGAAAGGTGATATTGTAGACATCAAGGGAATGGGTACTGTTCAAAAAGGCATGCCCCACAAATGTTACCATGGCACAACTGGAAGAGTCAACAACGTTACCCAGCATGCTGTTGGAATTGTTGTAAATAAACAAGTTAAGGGCAAGATTCTTGCCAAGAGGATTAATGTACGTATCGAGCACATTAAGCACTCTAAGAGCCAAGATAGCTTCCTGAAGTGTGTGAAGGAAAATGATCAGAAAAAGAAGGAAGCCAAAGAGAAAGGTACCTGGGTTCAACTGAAGCGACAGCCTGCTCCACCCAGAGAAGCACACTTTGTGAGAACCAATGGAAAGGAGCCCGAGCTGCTGGAACCTATTCCTTATGAATTCATGGCATAATAGGTGCTTCACACTTTGTGAGAAGCGACAGAAAGGAGCCTGAGGTGTTGGGACTTGTTCCCTGTGAATTCATGGTGTAATAGGTATAGCACACCTGTGAGAAGCAAAGAAAGGACCTTGAGCTGCCAGAATCTATTCCCTATGAATTCATGGTATAGAAGACAAACCTAATAAAAGCCGCTGGACTCTAAAAAAAAAACAAAAAACCAGCTTTGGGTTTCACCTGCTCTTTTCGGAGCTGGCAGACAGGCAGGCAGACCTGACCTGTAAACACTTGTGAGGTCATTTGTGTTGAAACACTTCATGATTTTGCTACGAAGGCTATGGGGGTTCTGTTCCAATGTTCTGGGAAGCAGAGCTGCCTTCACAACACTCTCTTCATGCTCCCTCCGCTTCCCCTAGCCTCATCTCAAGCTCTCTTGGAGGAATAATGCAGGTGATTCCAAGCCCCTGTGCTTGGGGGCAGTTTCCATGGTATTCAAAGGATTGGGCTGTCATTTGGGGCTTGTGATTTCGGCAGCCAAGATTCTGGCAGAGGTTTGTTCCATATCCTCTAAATTTCATCTTATAACTTTCATAGCGACAGACTCAGAATATATATCCCATTCCATTTCCTTTTTAGAGACAGACTTAAGTTCATGCCATGCCTTATTTTTAGAAACTGATTTTTCTCCTTTTTTTCCTTCCTTGATATAGCAAAAGCCTTTTGAGACAGCATTTTACTTATTTGTCATTGAAACAGAATTTACCTTTTTCAATCACTGGCAGGTTTTAACTACAGACATTTGAAGTTTTTTCTAAGCTCTTTACACTTTGTCCAGAAAGAGATCTTTTTTCCTTCCGACTTCGAGCTGTGTGGAGTTTGGCCTTTGTAGTCACCGCTGTTAACTTCTACTTCTTACCTGCACTTCCGAGGAAGCCAGACCTTGTGTCTAAGGACATGGATTTCAAGCCTCATAACCAGACTTTCTTCCTGCACCAAATACCTGGAACTTAATTTCTTTGTATTTTTCGCAGTCTTTGTTAACGTTTCTCCAGAGCTCAGCTGCCACTCATTCTTCCATTTGCCCCGCTCCCTTTCAGAAACTCTCCAAGTTTTTTGGAGCCTATTGAGACTCTGTTGAAAATATAATGGCTACAGACTTTCTTCCCAGAAAAGTGCTCATTCATGTCTCTATAGATGCCTCAACCTCTATTAAGAGACTAGCTTACACCCTATCCCTAAAGTACAAAAGTATATAAATTTCTAATAGAAATTTACCACATGAGGAATATATTCAACTGGTCTTAGAAGAAAGGTATACTGCTCACTTTTACATGAGAAAGAGAAATAAGTGTACTTAGAATAAGAAGAAGGATCCCAGGTGTCTTAGTTTTCTGATGCTGCCATAACAAATTATCTTAAACTTGGTGAGGTAAAGCAGTTGTATGCCAGGAAACAAGTGGAAGACCAAATACATTTCTCACGGGGACTTACACCAAAACCTAATAGGAAAATCACAACATAGACTCCTAGGGTTCTGGAGCAAAGCTATGCTATCTGTAGTAGACAATCATTCACCATTTGAAAAATAGCTCCTGGTGTGTTACTGGGTCTTGGTAAAGACAAACATCTGACCATGGGATACCAATGGACTTTGTGGCCAGAGCTGCCCAGTGTGAGTTGGATTCTATCGAACCTACCAAGTATCAGGGTCTGGCAGGGCCAGCTGAAATCCACTGAAAGATGGGAATGAGAGATCCAGGATTTAGGCACAAGCAGGGCTATAGGGCACAAGACAGGCACATGAGCAGGTGGCCCCGATTCCCACGTTGCCTACCACTGTTTCTCCAGCACCTCTTATACTTAAGGCCATAAAGGGAAGGCAGCACTTATGACAATGGTGAAGGAACATCTTCCTAATGAATATGTCTTTAGGAAATACACCAAAGAGTCATCATCCGTGTTGCGTATAATGTGTTCCTAGGTAAGACTGTTTACAAACTCATGGGCAGTGGCAAATGGCTTGGTTCGTTTGCTAGGTATCTGCAATGAGAAAGATTAGAAGATTGGGCAGAAGGAAGAGGCTTGTAAATAGACATGTGGGAATGGACAGGAAATGTGACAACCTTTGCTTTGCATCTTGATGTCCACCAAAGAGCATCAATCATGGATGAGGCACTAAACAACCAAGCAGACAGAACAACTTGGCCAGTGGATGTCAGTCAGCCTCTGTCAGTGGCAATCCTCGTGTTGCACAATGAACTCATAGAATAGCCATGGTGGCAGGAGTGGAGGCCATACATAGGCCTAAAAGCATGGGATCTGGCTTTCCAGTACTAATAATAACTGTTGCTAATAAACATCCGATCTTTTAGCAGTAGAGGCCAATGTTGACTGAGACCTTGATATGGCATCAATCTTTGAGAAGACTAGGCAGCTACTTGGCAGCAAGTTAAATACATCGGACCCCTTCTACTCTGAAAGGGGAAGTGATTCATCTTGATTAAAATGGATACATATTCTGGGTATGGGTTTGCCTTTCCTGCCCACAGGGACTCAGCTGGCACAACTATCCAAGGGCTTACAGAATTTCACATAATGTCACTTAGACCAAGGGACCAAGTGACCCACTTTAAAGATATGACAGTCTGTAAGTGACCATATAATCCACTGGTCCTGTCACATACTGCGCCATCCCAAAGCTACTGGCCTGGGAGGGATGGAATGAACTCTTAAAGGCACACTGAGGTGTCAGCTTGGAGATGCTACCCTGAGATGATGGGGTATTGTCTTCAGGATGCAGTATATTCCCTAAATACTTAACTCTTACATGGGGGTGCCGTGTCCCCAATAGGTAGAACACGTGGGTCTGGTAACCAAGGGGTGGAAATAGAAATGGTCCCACTTACTATCATTCCTGGTTACCCACCTGGGAAATTTGTGCTTCCCTGTCCCCTCAACTCTAGGCTCTAACTGTGTCAAGGTCCTATTCCTCGGGCGATACTTCCACCAGGGGACACAGTGAGAGTGATTTAAACCCAAAGCTATAGGGTGGTACAATCAGCAAACTTGACAATTCTCAAGAAAAACAGCTGTTCCCAGCCCATTGCACTGAGAACCATAATCAGACCAAAATCTTAGAACATTTATGAAAGGGAAATGACGTTGTAGAATGTGACAATATTGTGAGTTTTAATTGAATGGTGGAGGGGAGCAGTGACACATATAACTCAGATCTTTGCATTTTTAGAAAATCATAGAAATTGAGTGCTGAAATAAACTTCTACTTGGCCTTGTTTATTTTAGATGGGTAGCAACTGAAGCAAGAGAGGTTAAGAGACTTGCACAAGATCTTGCAGAGAAGTCAGTAGCAGATCTGGGATCAGAACCCAGGTCTCTGACGCCTAGCCCAGTATTCCCTTCCTCCTCCATTGTGGATTCATAGCACCAGTGTTCCTTTTTAACTATGTGTGAATTGGGTCAATGTTAACTTACTCTGCGTTCTGCATACACACTACAGAGAAGGCTGATGAATAACACACAGATGTTCTGATGGCTAGGAGAAGTCACCTTAGCATTAAAAATTTATTGTAGAAATCTGCCCAAATAGACAATTAAGCAGGCTGGTGTCAACCTAATTGGTTCAAATTAATGAATGCAGTTCCACTCAGATTCTTCTTAATTTTTTAAAAATTTTTTTGCTGTTTGTTATTGACCCTCATACACCTTCATTAAAATCGTAAAGGTATCATAAGTTTCACTTTCATTAGTTTCACAAAACCATTTTGAATGTCATTGAATGCTCATTTTGGATTAGGAACAAGATATATTTAGAATTCACCAATGCCTCAAACTAACTTCTCTAGGTCTTTGGGGACCAATAAAAACTTCTATGCATTTTGCTCAGCACATTTCCCTTAACTGAGCATAACAATTTTTCAAGTAGCTTAAATAATGCAAGCATTTTGTTGGCTTTTTTAATTTTGGTTTTTGTGCCCTTATGAAGACAAAGCATCTAGAACCACCCAATATCCAAGGACCCAAGGAAATGATTTTATTTTGTTTTTTAGCAATATTAGCATGCATCGGATGAACACTATTTGGGTTCAGCATACATCTACTAATTCTGTGACTGTACTAGGCTTGAAGTGGAATGAGATCATAGTATAAAACCATATTTTTAATATACTTTTTAGGTAATACCAATGATGACTGTACAATACACTCTCATTCAATCTCCCATCAACCTTATGAGACTGGCATGATAGGAGGGCTGCCAGCTCCCACAGTATCCACCCTCCTGTCCTTGGTTAGCTGGTCCTTGGCTTCCTGAAATAAAGACCACAGTTCCCAACTTTCCTTGCTGCTGGGTATCGCCAAATGACTTTCTCATTAAAGGGATGCAAGGGAAGTGCTGTGTGCGACTTCTCAAACAAGTGCCCTTCCTTTCCTCTTCATCTTCTTGGCTGAAATGCAGTTGTGATAACTGAAGCCCAAGCAGCAGTTTTGGCCCAGGTTGGAAGCTGTGTGTTGAGGATGGGGGACCACACACCAGGAGAACACTGGGCTGCAGCCATTAGGGGGCAGCCATACCTACGCACTGCTTACCTTCAAGCCTCCTATACACGCTAGAGAAATTCCATCTTGTTTAGGTTACCGTTAATTTGGGTTTTCAACTGAAACTAATCCCAAATGATACATCTGAGCTACACTGTCCAAATTAAGATGTGCTATAAGTTTAAAATACACCCTGGATTTCAATGGCTAAGAGAAAAAAAAGATTGTAAAAGTATATCACTGATAATTTTTTACATTGATTATTTATTACAATGATAACATTTTGTATATATTGGCTTTAAAATCATATTACTTAAATTGTTTCTCCTGATTCTCTTTACTTTTTAAAATGTGACTACTAGAAAATTTTAAACTCTGTACATGGCTCACATTATATTTCTATTGGACAGTGCTAGGCGAGTGCTGCTGTGCTCTGTCTCTGTACCTGCACTGTAGAAGGCAGGAAGTACCTGAGGCTAAGAGAAGCCGCATGACTTAGCCAAGTTCCCTTGTCACGTAAATGGTGGGGCTCGATTCACGCTCAGGTCTGTGTGGTGCAACCCCAGGGCCTTCACCCACTGCCTGCAGTGCCTCTCGACTGGTGTCACTGAGTTCAGGCACAGAAGAGAGAATACCATCCCAAACACTAATTACTGAAGGCAGGAGCTGCTGGCAGCTCGAAGAGCTTTCCTGACTTTTCCCTCAAATTATGTCTATGATCTGATGAGTTCTGTAGTGTTATTTTCAAATCACACATTTCCCAGCATATAAAAATATAATGTAATCTATTGAAAAAGGAAATGAAACACAATTTTCTGAATGCTTCTGCTGCCTTTGATTCAGAAAGAAGACATTTAACTTAGGAAATCTTTCCATAGATTTTCCACAGATGACAGAGCTGGAGGCCTTTGTGGCAAAACTTTCCTTGGTTGCGTTCCCTCACTTTCCTGGAAGCTCAAGGCCTCTTAACCTTTGTGACCAAAGAGCCCGGTGGCTGGTGCCGGGGGCGACAGCGTGAACTGTCTTGCAACACATATCCCCTTATCTGGTTGGTTGTAGATCTGGCTGCCTAGGCCAACGCACCCTCCTCAGGTAGTGAGAATGTTCAGTATTATTTACACCTTTATTCACCTTTTCCCACCTCTGCTATGGTAAAGGTGGCAGGTCGGCCCGCATGCTTGTTCTGTGGAAGAGGGGTACATTTTCTGTCGGAAGATGGCCTGGCATTTCCAGCCTTCCTGATTTCTCCCTAAAAACAATTAGGAATAGCCTGACCTAACTGAGGTGAAAAGATATCAACTTAGCTACCTACTTGTCGGTAGCCAAAGACTTCTCTTGATTTACTCACAGGGTCCTCCATTATTCTGCTCCAGTGCTAGGCTAGACACAACTCTTCTTTGAGGCTCACCACTTCCAAGTGATTCTAAGACATAGGACAGCCACAGTCACTGAATGAACTTGGATGCAATCCTTTTAATCTCTTTCTCATCTATAGTACTGCCATGACTGGCCAGAAATGGTACCCAGACTATTTAATTGCCTATGGAGCTACGGCGTGAAACTAACAAGCTGTTCATTAATGCACCCATTGATCGCTCTCTCCTTCCTGTGGCTTCTGTTCCTGGTTTAGAAGCAGAATTAACAAGTTTTCTCCTAAGAGGTATATCTGTGCTGCAGCAGTCAGCTCTTTGAACATTTAACTTCATCCTCCAAATCATTCCAGAAAACACTAATGGCTCTGGGCCCAGACCTGACCCCTGCAGATCCCATTTACAAGGACCGTCAAAGGCAGATAAATCACCACCAGTAAGTACTTTTTGCATTTGGCTTCCAAATACAGGGGTAGCTGGGCAACTGTGGGTCATTGGACTTTTGCAAATTAAATTCCCCCAAAGATATATTTCACTAATACAATCGAAGGACAGTGTATGCTCCTGACAGCATATGCTAATCTCACAGGGACAAAAACCTGTATTCATGTAGGACATTTGTTGAGGACAGAATGAAGATACTGTCACTGATTGGCTTCTTTTTCTTCATAGTCATCATGCCCACTAAGTATCAAAAACGATGCTCAAATCTGCTGCACATTTCAATGCAATATGCCAGCTTGTTTTCTTTTCAGCTGAATCTATTTGCAATCTCCAGTTCCTCAATTTACTTATTTTAAGTGAATTCACTTACTCTAAGGCTCTCTGTGTGTCTTTTTGTTTTAGAACCAGTAGAGGCAGGGGGTGTCTAAAACTCAAAGGCCTCAGGGTCCAGACAGTTAATGTAAAAGTGTGAAGTTGCTGGTGTAAGACATTAGGGAATGGAAGAGACTGTGACCAATTGGAGCTTTCAGCCTCACTAAAAGTGTGCAGATGTTTGAAAAACTCACACATACTGCATTGGCCAGAGGAGAACACATCAGTTTAGATTCCACTGAAAAGTGGATAGTTTGTGAACTCGCCTTTAAATCCGTTCATTCAGTCTCCCTTGCAGGCTCTGAATCAGAGGTTCAAATGTGGGTGGAGAGGGGAGGGAAGTTGGAGTGGCAATTACTGTCTTAAATTTCCTGAGTCTAATATCCTGTCTGCCCCTCTGGTTGAAAATAATCAAATCCAACATTAATTGGTTCTCATGTAAACCTTCGTCATAAAATATATTGCCATTAGGCCATGCTCATTCTCACATTCATGAAGTGCTTCCCCTCACAGCTCGTGTATTTGCTACTAGCTGCAGATCCAGATCATACTAATAGAAATCTAGTGTGAAGTGAAAAGGAATCAGCCATCTCTCATTTTTATAGCTGTCTGGAGACAAAGGCTACCCACCCGCTGAATTTCAAGTACTTCCAACCTCTCTGTGTGGCCTAATTTGATCCCACTGCTTTTCTGCTGGAGGGAGGGGGATGAAAGCACCTTCAGTTATTGCCAAGGTGTGCAGGCCTGTCTGTCGCAGGCCTGTATTCTGGGTGTAAGGAAGACAGACTATCTTTAATTTGCTAATTTTGCCTGAAAGCTGTCATCAGAGGCTGAGGGATGATTTTATGCTTTTCTGTTTGCTTTTAAAATATTTCTCCCCCTCTCCCCCCCAACTATCCATCAAGTATATAGAGCAGTCCATGTCTGAAGTTTAGCTGACTTAGTTGAGCCCAAGTTCAAATCTGGAGAAAAATACAGCTACAGACACACTTTCAGTGTCATTTACTCTGTTTAGTGGCCAGCTGACAGTGGTAAGAACAAATTGTCCTTCAATTTCTCTTCTCCCTTATCTATAGGGACTTTGAATTTCAGCTGGGCCCATGGTTTCCAAGAAAAAAAAGGGAAATATTTCAAGCTCCCTTGCAGCTTAGGTATGGCAATGTGACTGAATTCTGGTCAGCAACATATAAGAGGAAGTATGATAAGTACAATTTCTTGGAAATGTGCTTAGAGGAAGAAGGTCTGTTCCTTTCCTCTTTTCTTCTCCCTGCTGATTGAAGAGCAAATGGTAACAGTGAGGCTGAAGCAGCATTTTGGGCTATGACACGATTCTGGGAATGGATGTCATACGTGATGGAACAAAACCATAGGAGGAATCTGTACCCCTAAGATCATGGAGGGCCATACCACCCCTGGCCCACCTATCTGGACATTTACATGAGAGGGAATAGGCATCTGTCTTGTTTATATTACTTGGTGAGAGTCAGGGAGACAGTCATTATCACTAGCAGCCAAAAGTAGTTCCAACTAATACAGAAGGTATCAGGCAGGTGCACAAAAGCAGGGCTCAGACACATCTCATGCTGTCCCTTTCAGGTAGAGAGGAGTCAAGCATCATTACCATTCTACTTCGGGAAACTCCTTCAGAAAGGTGTTAATCAAGGTCCTTATTCCATCTTCCTTCTTCTTGACCCAGGAGTCCTTTCTTTCCCACCCAGGTCTCCAGCTGCAATTCCCACCTTTTGTCTCCATCACTCTTCATAGCCTTAACTATATTCTGCCTCTTGCTGGTTTTGTGTTTGCTGCTTCAGGTTGACTGTGGAAACTTAGGAATAGAAAAATATCTCTTTTGTAATCACCTTTCCCACTTACAGTGCAAAACAAAGCATTACCTAAGTTTCAGGTACTCCACGAGCCCTACAATTAAATTAATTTGGAATGCATTTTTGAACCCTACTTACTATCTATACCATGTTCTGTTTTTTCACTCTCATCTTCATACTATCTATTCCATACAGAAATTATCTCTATAGGGGACACTCTCTAAAATAGGGCTCCTCACCTGCGAGGCAGCAGAGGGAAATTCAGAGTCTATATATGAGCTTTCGTCTGGAGGGAAGGGTCGGTATCTTTCATTAGAATTTCAAAAAACATCATGACCCCCAACTGGCTGACAGCAAACAAAAAACCTTTGGCTAAAATGATACCTAAAATTGGTTGTTGGGTGAGGGTAAGAGAAGGAATGAGATCTACTTGGATGATTCACTTTATAAAGAAGGTAAATCCACATGTAGATATATCTAATTTCTGTATCTAAAGTTTTGGTTATTTTTAAAACACTTAATTTTCTCTCCATGGTTTCCAGGAGATCTTAATCCTTCATCTTAACTGAAGAAGCAACAGAAAAGATCAAAGATACAATGGGCATAAACTGAAGCAATGCTTTATTGCAACCACAAAGCACCAATTCAACAAGGCATTGACACACAGAGATTGAACAAATGTCTCTTTGAACAGAGATGCAGCAAGCCCACTTTTTCAAGTTCTTAAAAACAAGTACTCAGACCAGGAATAAAACAAAGCATAGGACAATTAAAAAAATATTACACCATCATGAGGGGATATGTATAAAAATATTCTGTACTAATAACAAGGCTTTTTGATCTATAACTCTTGGCAAATTTCTTCAGAAACAAATTATTATAAATACAAACCATAAAGTAAAAAAAAAATGCTTTCTTCAGAAACAAAGAACCAATTTAAAAGCAAATCAATGCAGAAATACCATTACCCCCGTGAAAGTGAGCTGAATGTGGATGGATATCCCCAGTACACAACGGAGTTTCTCTTTTCAGAGCTACGATTCTGCTCCTGAAGGGGCCATGGTGCATGTTCATTTCAAACACTGCAGCATATCCCAATAAAACCTTAATAAGGTCAAGTGGAGGACCCTCTATAAAAAAGGGTGTCGGCAATTCCATCCAAGTAACACAAGCTCTAAGGAGCAGAGGAATTCAAGGGAGACAGCAATCTCTTTCTCTTTTCTCCCCCTCCCCATGTTTTCTTATTTTTACTCTTCCTAAGTCTCAACCAAAAGATGCTCATTCCATTAAATTCTTTTTTTATTTTTTAAGGATTTTGGGAAAGCAATCTATGAAGAAACGAAGAAAATCATCATGATTTCAAAGCGTTTGTGGGGAGGAGGACCTCAACATGTCAAAGAACATTCTATTTGACAGACTTCAAAAGGAAAACCATCCTGTGCACATCTTGTCCTTGCCCCTCCTGGCTGAATTCAGGTCAGCCGATGAATTGCCTAGTCTATCCAATAGGATAACGTTTCATTTGATTGAAAGTCTTTACATATACACATGTATGTATTCTGTTTACCAAGTTTCATCACATGAAACCAAATTATGTCATTATGTATTTTTTGAGGTCTAAGACCCCAAGTGGACTGTACTATGAAGAGTTGTTCTTTAAATGCTTTGTCTGCAGAGGTTTTACATGATACTCGTAGATTTTCAGAGCAGGCCCCAATTTTAACTGAAGTCCTGTCAACACATCATTTCTCGTCATCAATAGCAGTGATTTCCCGTCAATTTCCTATAATGGAAGCAGAGAGTAAAGCCAACATGTGAGTGCAAAAGCTTAAGGATAATGAAGAAAAAAGGAAGTTCAAAGGCAAAAGTCATACTAATTGTCCCCAAGTGAAAAACATTACTTTCGTAGTGCCAAAACGGAAGAAAATGGAATCTTCTATTTTTATCTTCCATCTTTTACTTAAATATTTTGGGATTAAACACAATCCATAGCTGATCTTGTTTTCAAGATCATATAATAAATATCACATCTTAAAAAACTGATAGCAAGCTTAGAGCACATACCCTTAAGGATCAAAGATATTGCTTCCTTAAGGAATAATGACACTTCCCATTTATAAAACAAATTAAGAGAATTTTTGGTGTACTTAGTTTCTAAAACAACTCTATAAATTAGAACAAGCAGAAATTATCATCTTTAGTTTATAGGCAAACCAAGGACGAAGCAAGAAGTTAACCTAAGATCAAGAAGTTAGGAAAGGGAACATAGGATTTGAACTTTCATCTACCTACAGCCAAAGCCCATGTTCTCTTATTTTTCCTTCTGCTTCTCTTGACATTTAAATATGTTCTTAGATGGTCCAATGGGGACTAGAGTCTTAAGTTTCCTGGAGCCTTGTGGATCATAACAATGGCATTAGAAAAACAACTCGCCCTCTGTGAGACTCTTTCCTGCCCTTTAAAAGGAGAACCATCCTGCCTCAACCTGAAAGTCCACCTCTCCATCCAGGTTGAGGGCCTCTACTACACTTACTCTCAATGGATCCTCAAAATTCCAAATTAGGGGGTGAGGGCTAGGGCCCTCCCAGCTGCAAATCTCTTTCCTGTTCTGCTCAGAGTCCATTCCCTACCTGCTTCAGGCACACAATCAGGTATGCTTCACTCCGGATATTTTGGAGACTTCAAAGACTTGGGGCAAAATAAAAGGGCTTCAACAAAAGAGATAAGGACCCCAGATAAGTAAAGTGGCTTGAAACTTTTAGAAAGGAAGCCCTGAGAAGAATGTCGAATGCCACCTTATTTTTGTTATTGTTTACTGAGGGAACCTTATGTCTCTTAAGAATCTGAGCTGTTTCTTAGGAGACTTGGGTTCAAGAGCTGGACCGGCTATGTTCATGATCTTACTCACTTCTGTACCTACCCACCCCCCCTCCCCCGCCCCATGCCACCTACTGACCAACAGACTAGGGGACACAGAGTGTAACTACAACTACATAAAACTGCGACTCCCTGCTACATGGTCACCCAGGGGCTATTCCTCCAAACTCTCATGTGCCTTGCCAGGTCTGAAAAGAAAGTGCTCTGAGAGTGTGGGTGAGAGGGCACCAGGCTGGGGGTTGAAGAAACACCCATTTTGTGACCTCAGGCAAGAATCTTGCTCCTCTGTCTTCTTGCTTGGTGGGGTCTCTGATGGAATTCCATGAGAAACTGCTGTTGCAAATGCTCCCTGAGCTGTAAGTTATTCAATCCTTTGTCATCATCCCTTCCATCATTCTCAACAGGACCATAGTCCTCATTTCACTTGTCAACCACCTAACACACACCAGAGCAGGACAAGGAATTACTTCTAACTGCTCCGCTGTGTTTTTGAGCTTTGGAAACCTTTATTTTGTCGGCTACTAGAATAAGAACCGTCTCACATTAATTTGTGAGAGACCACTATTCAAAACCATAATCCATAAAGAAGCAGTTGGTTGATAGGGCAAGAGCAGAAAATTACTCAAGGACATAGGAATTGATTCTCTAATCCTGAAGCTGTGGGGGTTTTTGGTTTTGTTTTGTTTTTTTTTCTATTTAGGCGACGAGTAATCCTGAAGATTGCTCATTAGTAAAACCTGCAAGTTTGAGAGTGGGCAGAGGAGCTTCTGGCATCTGGAAATCAGCCGCGGTGCTGAAGACATCCACTGCGCTATCACAGGGGTGTGAATATCGGTCCCCTGAGGGCTCAGGCTCTGCTTTGCACAGGGAGCTGCATATGGACTGGTGGCTTTACCAAATGGCAAAGCCCTTCCTGCTCTCCCTCTTTCCTCTGCTGCTGTTTGCTCACACCTAACCTGCTGCATAGTTTAAACAGGCCACAGGAAGAGGATGCTTTCCACTGCTTTCATTTCTACAGGAGAAAACTTCCTAGACTAACTCAAACTGAATTAAAAAAAAAAAAAAAAAAAAACCTTTGCTGGCAAAAACATCCTTCTACAACTCAGCATTTCTGTCAAAAGCCAAGTATGTCTGTAAAAAATGCTGAAATTTGGATTTTACTTAAGACAAAATGGAAAAATCACGTTTCGTGCTGTGATTTGATTTTCCCTTTGTTCAGTAGACATACTGCAGTTTACCTCAAACCAGGGTTAGTAAAAGAAAGCTCCATCTGGAAATCCTCATTTTAGAAATGTTGAAATGAATATACATCCATACAACAAAACTTTCCTCTTAAACCACGACTAGGCAGCTCCAATGCTGAGGGTGGGCACAGTGTCATGGAAACCAACCTTCAGGTCTGGCAAGTGGTCTGGATCCACAACTCACTGTGTGACCCTGGGTGAGGGACTTCACCTCCCTGAGCCTCAGCTTCCTCACTTGTACAATGGAAATAAACCCCTGAAGGTCTTTGAAGATTAGAAATGATTGATGTCAAGCACCCAGCACAGTGCCTGGCATGTAGGAGGTTCTCAGTGACTACTAAGTGGAAATGTATAGGCTTTGAAAGACATGGGATGTGTTCTGATTCCAAATCCACCTTCTGCTTCCTTTCTGCAAGTGTTACTCTTTGCCAGAGGGATGCAGACATATTCTTGTTCAGGTTCAGAAAATTTACTGAGATTAAAAAGTTCAAAGACTACAAAAAACATTTGTCTCATAAAAATGGCACATACAGGAAAGTTCCTTGATTAAGAAAGCTAATAATTGGTTACATAACTTCTATGTTTGCGATGCAAATGAAATCCAAATTTTGCCAACCAGCATGGTGTGCCAGAATGAACCTGGGAGGAGAAACTGACAGACAGAGGTTCTAATGCAGACTGTACCAGTAAATTTCCACAAGGAAGAGCTCCTTTGGATCCCAGTCTGTTTATTAATATAAATGAAGGGGTTGGAGTGTGACCGGCTCCAGCTAAACAAACAAAATAAAACAAACTAAAGACTTTGCATATACATCAAGATTAAAGCCAAAACAAAAAGATATCACATCTTGGGGATTCTGTGTTAACAGATAATCATTTGTTAACTTCAGTGAAACGTTTTTACATTGATTCGATCTTCATGTAAATATAACGTTCAAGTTCCTGTTGGGCAATAAAATTCAAAATGTTTGCATACTTAATAAGTTCTAGCAAGTACTCAAGCATTGAAGTAAGGTTCAGCGATGATAGGTTTACATTTCCAAGGAGGGCAAGACCCTAGATTTAAAAACAAATGAGTAGGATCTATAGATGTTATAGCTCAGTAGATAAGCATGTGCTTTAGACTAAGTTACTATTTTATGGCTTATTAGGTGGGGCCTAGGGCATGTTACTTAATCTTTCTAAGCTTCATTTTCTTATCTATGTGAGAGGGGAAAAGTAGCTACTGTATTTCACTGCTGCAAAGATTATTGAGATAGAATTCCTGATATCTATTGAGCACTCAATAAGTGCTAGCTAGCTATTTTTAAAAGCATATCAAATCTGGGCGTGGTAGCACGCACCTATTGTCCCGGCTACTTTGGAGGCTGAGGCAAGAGGATCGGTTGAGCCTAGGAGTTCAAGGCCAGCCTGGGCAACAGAGCAGGACCCTGTCTCTAAAAAATAATAATTAAAAAAATAACAAAATAAATAAAAAAAGCATATAAAGATGTTAACCAATTTACTTTTTACTCTTTCTTCCTGCTAGCATTAATCTATACAAAGGCAACTCTTTGAATTGAGCTTAATTGTAATAGGGTCCATGGGACATGTATAGGAAGAAAGGAGATGGGGTGGGAGGAGAAGCATCAAAGAGAAAGAGGCTAGGAAGGGAAAAAGAGTAGCCATCAGGAAAGAGGCAACTTGGGAACTGCAGGGTAGGGCAGGAAGAAAGTCAAAAAGAACTCGATGGGATTTATGAAGGTAGGGGCTCTCAGCTGACTCAGATGGCCATATGTGTGGTGGTCTCTACTGGCCCAGATAGTATGTTAGGGAAAGAAGGCTCAACTTAGAATGAGAAGACTCGGGCTGGAAGCTCTGCTCTGCTGCTTAGTAGCTTCCTTATGACAACACCTGGCCCACGATCCCCCTTCTCTGTGAAATGAGAGGTTTGGACTACTCTGCCCATTCAAGTTCAACGCACTCTCAGATTCTAATTCTTCTGTTTTTGGTAAGGATCAAGACACCCCAGCCTCATATGGAAGTCTCCCTGTTAAAGAACAGCAGCAACTCCTTACCGATAAGCTAGAGGAATCCGAGAAAATAGTCTTTCTTTTTCCCATTCAGTCTTCTCCCTCACATTTTCTATCACTTTCTTCGTAACAACTCTCTGGCCATTCACTATCTGGCTACAAGTGGTGACCAGTCTGAAGTTTCCCATTCCATTGCTGACAAAGGGTACAAATGTCTCAGAGGTAGGGGGACATGATCCAGAGCCCAGAGACACAAAAGTGGAAAATCCTGTGTCCAAGATGGGAGTCACATCAAAGATGGTGTAGTAGACTCTCTCGGCCCTGTCCATGTGCCTGAAGGGAAAATCATCTCCTAAGAAGACGTCTTCATCTTCTAAGACATCCTGAAAGGCATGGCATGGCCTCTCAAAGCACCATTCCTCCTCTGGATGTGTTTTGTCTGTGAAAACACATCTGCCATCTTGTCTATTTTCCCTTTTGGTGTGGTTTCTTCTGGACTTGTCATAGTCATTTCGTTTCTTGGCATCAGACAAGACTTCATAGGCTTCTGCTACTTGCTTGAATTTCTCCTCAGCCGCCTCCTTGTTCTCTGGGTTCTTGTCTGGATGTACCTGTAGAGCCAACTGGTGATAAGCCTTCTTAATATCAGA